TTCTTTTTCTTTTTCTTTTTCTTTTTCTTTTTCTTTTTCTTTTTCTTTTTCTTTTTCTTTTTCTTTTTCTTTTTCTTTTTCTTTTTCTTTTTCTTAAAATTTGATTAAAAGCACAGAAAAATTAAGTCCAAACTGCACAATATACAATTGATAGAGTCCAGTCTGGTTGTACTAATTTTTTCCTTGCTTACAAAGAACTGCAGAATGCCTGCCAGAAAACAAGTCCCTTCTTCCACTTAACACAGCTTTCCCTTGTCTCCTGATACCAGCAATGAGCTTCAAAATAAAACATCTGAAAGTGACTCAGTTAAGATGAAATGTACCTCTAATGGCAGCAGCCCGCTGCTGCTGGGACATCCCTTCCAAACTATTTTTTTCCAGGAGGATTCTCCCTGCCTTATTGCTACTACCTTTGAAACAGCAGCAGGACAGATCAGGATCAGCTATCTTAAGTATATTTTCTAAAAAAAAAAAAAAGCAAAAAAATGCAGGAAAAATGTATAAAATACTGGGGGAAAACCCACAATTTTCTTATTCTTTTTTTGTACAGATTGGATACCCATATGTCCTCTTATTTTTTTTTTTTTAATTCTGGAAGTAGGACATGAGGATTTGACTCAAACCCAAAAGAACTGAGGCCCAGAAAGTCGTTTTGTTAAGTTGTGCTGCAGCAGCAGAGGCTGAGGCGTGAGGAGGGGACTGCATGAAAGCAACGACTTGCATTTCTTGCTCCGTTAATTCCTTGCATCGCCGAGTGGGAAATGCCCCCGGCTCGAGCGCGCTGCGTGCAGATGGTGAAGCCGTCGCGTAGACTGAAACGCTTGGAGGAACCACCAGGCATCTTCTCCAAGGTAAAACCCGGAGCTGACAGTCACAACTCCCCCCCAGCGAAGCCGTGAGCAGCAGGATGTATAGAGTGCCTATGGAGCTGCATTCTCCCGAGACGCGCTCCAGAAGCAGCTTGATGTTTCCTGGCAGGTTCAAGGGTGGAAAGTGGAGACAGACTCTATCAGGTGAGGTCTAGACTAAGAGCTGCCGGTGTTCCCTGCTTCCCAGGCATGCAACCAGGCCCAGGCACCATCTTCCCCGCAGGAACGGCAGGATTTGGTCCCAAACCGAGCCTTTCTCATGGCTGCTGGGATGGGAAGCAGCGAAGCAAGGACGGGAATGCTCATCCGCGGTGCCATAAATCCGGGGAGCGCAAGAGGGAGCCAGATGCTGCACAGCTGCATCCCTGGCCTCCCCGGGCTGCGCTCGAGCAGCTGCCTCAGCTCCGCAGGGAGAGCGGCGAGAAATAAAGTTGTCCTGTGTTGCAAAGCGCCCGTAAGCGGAGCTCACGTTGCATTTGTTTGGAGCAGATGTGCAGGAGGAGCTGTACAAACCCACGGGAAGTGCTGTTTCATCAAATACCCACCTGAAGAGGATTCTCTCTGGGTTGTATAAAAAGGAAGCAAAGGAAGCAAGTCAGGCAGTCGCTGATATTACACTTAAATTAGGATCGGATAAGATGGCCTTCCTGCATGATCTTTCCTGGTGGTTTTGGCCCATCAGAACCGAGGAGCAGTGGGAAGCCGTGGCTAATTTAGCCCCATCTCCTGTTGGCACAACTAGCACTGAGGTGGATGGGCATTGCTGGTGCATATTCAGCACGAGCACGCCTCTCAGATAAGACACCTCTAGGGAAAAAGCAAAAAACAAGCAATCAAAAAAATCCCTTCACTCCCATTTTTGCGTGAATTTTGGCAAACCTTCCCTAGCGTTCCATAAAAGCAGCAGTTCTCCTTGGAGGTGCCCTGCCTGGCGGGCACGGG